GTTTTATGACCATAGAGGAGAAAAGACCCTGACAAAGAGTATTCCCACCCCTATTTTGCTGGTGTGGGAGAAAAAGCTGCAATGTGAATTGACCATTTATTGGAGACATACCGAAGAAGATCCAGGAGCACTCATCCAAATAGTTTCACTGGTGACAGAACAACTTGGCGGGATGTGGGATCAATCCTTGCGTCACTGAACATGCTTTATGAATTTTCTTTTTTTGCTAAGCGGAGCCTCAGCTGTAAAAATAATTGGGCTCTTCGTAGCAGTGTCAGAGTCTTTATGCAGAAAAATTATGCAGCGTATTAGCCCACGTAGAATGATGTTTCATCATCATTGTATCTCTTCTCCCAGGGATGCTGATATTTAACGCCCTTCTATTTTGAAACTGGTTAGCATTTGCTCCAGAAAGAGAATCATGGTTGAGGAAAATGAACTTAACAGGGGCGAACGTCAAACGAGCGTATATCTACTTGTAACACAATTAGGTGAAACTGCGAAAATCAGGCCGTGCAAATGGTTGCAGCTGAGGGGCTGGAATTCTTTTGATCAAGTTAGTTAAATGCTCCAGTAATTCAGTACCCATGTAAAGAAACTCCCCTGTACACCCAGGATAAAACAGGGTTAGAGTCTGGGCTGTTGCTTGGGATGGTGCCTGCTGCTGTGAGGAAGAAGTCTGATAGGGGATGCAGTCCTGTTAGGGCTGAAATCACTCTTGGACCTGCCCCACGTCATTCCCCAACCATTATAATCTTTGGTCATTTACTGTAGGGGAGTGTCCACCATGGCCCTTTCCCAAATGCTCAGATCTGGGCTGTCAGGAAGGAAGGATATACTGTCTAAGGAAAACTCAGCTCGTGCCCAAGAGCTGCTAAAAGCAAGCACACTGTCAGAGCATGAAGTCCTAGCACCTACACCAGACAAGTACCTACTGCTGTGCATAAGCGTGACATTCAACTGAGTATGAGCAATCCCATCTGTGTAAGGCAAAATACAGTCAAAGATATTACACAGCATCAGGCAAGTGCCTCTTCAAAGGCAGTCTGTGTGTGTCAGTGACAGGGTTCTGAGTCCCAACAGAGCAAATAATCCAAAATGATAAGCCACATAAGGCGGGTATGAGAATATCACTTGGAGATAAATGAGCCTAGCATCTAGGAATGCTGCCCTATGGCATCTGAGTGACAGTCTCTTTATCGGGCAAAAATTGTGTTTGTTGGTAAAATTTAGTGAATGTTCAGTTGCAGAAAAGAGATGTGGTTACATGGCATCTACCTCAGCTGGAGACGAACCCAGCATAAAAACTTAGGATGTGCCCAAATGTCCATCTGAATTGTTAAAATACCCTCACAGCACAGTGTCTCCTACCAGTTCTGCTGAGGTGGTGGATTCCCCTTTATCAGTCATCCACTCTTTACTTATACAGTGGCTATGCAGAGCTAGTGGCAGGATAGTGGCTGTGCTCCTATGTCTGACTGATTAAAAGGGCGATGTAAAGATTGAGAGGCTGGAAGTTACTCTTGAATTTTATACAGCTTTAAGGAAGGAGCATGCTTAGTTAATGATTTAGAGACTGATCATTTCTTCTTGCAGAAAGAGCTCCCTTGGGGAAAGTTTGGGTCTGTTTGCACCTGACACCCTACAAATGCAAGAAGGAGAGCCTTACTCAGTCATAGCATCATCACTCAGATGAGCTCAGGAGTCTTGCAGAGAAGGACATCAGGGTTTGTTTTTTTTTTTTATTGGCACAACAACCAATATATCTGTCTGTTTTTCTAGATCAAGGTGTGCCTGACATTTGTTAAGAATAAATAAATTTCCCATTTTTCACTTATTTGATCAAAGCCTTTAAAAATAACTACAAACTGTAGTTACTTGTGTATACTAAGTAGGCATTCCTCTGATATATATCAAGCATGAGCCAGCAGAAAGACAGATTTTGGAAATGTGATGGAATCTGTCCTGTGCTGATTTAAGCGTGTATGTCTATGTACCGCAGAAGTATGTGGTGGGTAATGATATATTTGCTTCATGTCACTTTTTCCACACCCTCCCCAAGCCAAATTTTTCTTGCTTCCATCTCCTGCTTTTGTAGGACTATTCTCTGGCTGCCAAAATTCTGCAAAATTCACTCTAACACGGACACGCATCTTGGTCACTTGCTGTCCAAATCATCTTCACCATATACTGCCTGCAGACCTGCCCTGAGGCACGAATATGGCTTAGCTTATGGCTGAAAAGATACCAGTAGTTGTTGACAAGCCTGTGGGACAACAAAAATGTGCTGCTTTGCTTAGTCTGTAGGAGGCTGGGGAGTGTATAAAAGGTATGCATATGAAATTCAGAGATTTGTTTATTATATAGATAGGAATCTGAACTGCCAAAGTTTAGTCTAATTTTAAAGCTCCTTATAAGTTATGTAACTCTTCTCTTTTTCAGTAAAATGCAAAGTTACAATGGAAACCACTTCATTTCTAATGTGTATGATTTCATCCTTTTGAGGAACAGCAGGGCAAAATGTCCTCTTCAAAGCCTGCTTCATTTTCCGAACCTGTTGCCACATTTATCTCCTGCTCAATATTTGAATCTACATCTATCAGAAGTGGGTGTGCATTTTACCTCTTGATCTTAATTTTGGTCTCTGATTTCACTCTAATTCCACAGGGGGACAATTTTTAACTTCCTTCTCCTGTAGGAGATTCAGGATGTTCTTTTCAGTTGTAAAGGAAAACAGGGATAGTAGCTGCTGAAAAAGAAAGCATATGCCTTGTTTTCCTGAGAGTGTTTCCTCTCCCTAGGTCCACAGAGCACGACAAGGTCTCGTGCTTCATGTGTCATGGTCTTGAAATGTGCTCAAGGGGGTTCTGGCTTTTCCTTGCACACTCATAATGTAAAGTTGTCTCTTTAACTCATAATCAAGCTTGGAGATTGAGCTGCTGGATTTAGACTGGTTTTAGAGCATGTGCATTTATCAAGTTTTCCTGTTTTAGCTAACATAATGGTTTGGATAGGATCAACATATATGACCACCTGTAAGAAGAGTGTCTGATTTGAATACATGATATGGAACTCCACAAGAGCAGAAGGAGTTGGGTGAAACCTCACCAACTAGAGGGGATAATGAACAGAGTGAGGAAGCCAGTTCTCTGCTCTGTTTCAGGAAATTACTGTGTGACCTTCGGGCAAACCACTTTACCTTTTCATTCCGCTGACTCTCTCCCTCATCTTTATTTTATTCCTTCCTATTTAGACTTCCAAAGTGCAAAGGCCAAAGCACGTGCCTCTGATAAGCAGTTTCGGTTTAAGCACAGATTTAAAACAAAGAGGCAGGTATCCATCTGGGGGCCTCCTGTAGGTATTTGTTAGTGTGGTTCACTCCAATCTATCATCAGTGGATGGCTTTGTATGGATGAGGAGAGCCTGTGTGCTTGCCCAAGCATCGCCTGAACTTCTCATACACCTGAAGAAGAATGTTTGCAAACAAACATATCCTGAAATGCAAATGAGTTTGTTCACGTGGCCTTCATGGCCTAATATGTCTTTTGGTCCGCCTTGCTCCTGGTGGAAGAACTGGTGTGACTTTGTGATGATGAGTTCCCTTTCTTCCCACTCTGAATGCAGAGGAAGTTGCCCACTTACTGATCTTGTGTGTGGGTAATTCTAATTGTAGATGTATTTCTTCATTTATTGATGTTATAAAATACTAGACCATTCTCCTTCTCAAATTCAATTTGATTTTTCTTCTGATGTTTCTGCTGCTAGGGGGTTCTAATTTCTCCTTTTTCACCTCTTTAAGAAAGGAATGGAGATGATCAAGTGGAAATTAGAGGTCACAATGCATCTGAAAATATTTTGGAGTGTGTTGATTAGAAAATTAAAATTTCTTGTAATGATACCAAACACAGTAAACCTGTGTTTTGAAAAAATTTGTATGAGGAAAGATTGCAAAGATGGCTTTAGAAACAAACTTAGCTCCAGTTGTGAGGTTACTGGACACATTTGTGGCTTTTATCGACATGACTGTGCTTCAGGATGCAACTTAAGACCCAGAAGAGTCTTGAAAATTTTATATATTTAGCAGTGGGTGGGTGTGAATCCACTCCAACAGGATGGCTTAAAAAACCCCACCATTTCAAAAACTTTGTATCTAGAAAAGTGAGGTGAGGGGGCAAGCAGGTTTCTGCAGGGTTGTTCTGTGTTCCCTCTGACAGCTGATGTGAAGAACTGTTCTTCATCCCTTTTGACTGGTGGGTGCAGAGACAGCGGGTTTCTGCTGGAAGCTGTTGTTCCCTGCAGTCCCAGCAGCACTCCTGGTCTATTTTTGGTGACCAGGTTTGCAAGACCTGTGGGAGAAATGAGTGTTACGGCACCCCTGCCCCCATCCTGAATTGCATTTTGAAACTTTTTGCAGCTGTGCTGCTGCGATTTTCTTTGTCCAGGGGTGCAAGCCATAAAGCCCTATCTGGGAAGAGAGGCTGGAGATGAGGGTGGCGAAGAGTGCGTGTTCCCCGGGGGCAGGGACACAAGCTGCTGGAGTGCTCCCCAGTCTTTATGTGAGTGGGGAAATGGCTTTAATGACCACGTCGGACGCTCTGGAACCGGTGAGGCGATGGTGCGGGCGAGAGCCCCGAGTTCAAGGGGCAAAGAGGAAAACAGGTTGAATATTATTATTATTATTATTAATTTTTTTTTTCCCCGTCTCTATGCCCGATGCGGGATGAGCCGAGCCGTGTGCTGTGTGCCCCCCGAGGAGGGCCGGGATGCTGTGAGGGGGTTTGAGAGGATCGGGCGGGGGTCCACCTGCGGGGTGTGGGCACCCTGTCTGGGCGGCCTGGGACGCGGGAGGGGGACAGCGAGAGGGAGAGGAGAGGGAGGGAGGAGCGGCGAGGGGCGGGCCGGGCCGGGCGGCGCTGCCGGGCGCCGTGTGGGTGGCTCCAGGCGGCCGGTACCCAGCGACAGGCGCTGAGGTGGGAGGAGGCTGGCGGGGCGGAGGAGGAGGAGGAGGAGGAGGGAGTACGGCGGTGCTGCGGGCGTATCAGCCGGTGCTGGACCATGGTGCGGCTCGGCGGGGGCTGACACGCCGGCACCCCGCCCGCCCGCCCTCCCTCCATCCCTCGCCGCCGGCTGACAGGCACGTGTGGGATGTGAGAGCTGCCCTCGCCGGGGGAGCATGAGCTGTGCCCAGGCCGGCATTGTCCAGGTACGAGGGGATGCCGACGCCCGGCCCCGGCTGTGGGTGATGGGGCGTGAAGGGGGGGCTGGGAAAACGGGGACGGGTGGCGTCGCCTCCCGGCCGAGAAGTGCGAGGCGGGATGGGGCTGGCAGCGGCCTCGCCGCCGGCAAAGGCCCTTCCCGGGGCGGGCAGCCCCCGCCCGGCCGGCGGGATGCGGTGGCGGGTCGTGGGTGTGCGCTGTCATCCGCGCCCGGCTGCGGGAGCCGCCTTTGTGCCGCGGGGGTCTGTGCGGGATGGGACCCCCGTCTGTCCGTGTCCCCCTGAGCGCTGCCGCGGGTGGGGGGTGGCGGGGGGTGTGCGGAGGGGGTCGTGCTCTCCGAGGAGCAGATGGGCCCCGGTGGGTTACGGGCTGAGCCGTCGGCCTGTCGTCTGAATTCCACTAGCGAGCAAATTGTGTAGAATTACGATGAGCGACGTGCCGGCGGGGATTGACATCATTTGGGGGATGTGGATGCGCGCAGGCGGTGATGAAGAGTCCCGCGCCGAATTTTCGGTGGTTACGTCCCTTCCTTGTAAAAGCAGAAGCCCCCAGGTTTGGTTCTTGGCTCCTTGACAATGCAGCAAAATTTAAAGCCCCAACTGCCTCTTTCCCCCCCTTTCTGTTGCTGTAAGCCAATCTTGTGACTTCATATTTTGGTTATTACCTTGTGTTATTATGTAACTGCGTTTTTTTGTTAGCAATTAAATAAAATAACTTATAAGTACGTTAAGAACATTGCCCTCGCCTGTAGCATTGTCAAACGCTGCGTTTCTTATTTTGCAGCCTGCATGGATAATGGGTTTATACTGACACGGGCAGTACAATTCATTTTGTTCTCTCTTGCATCGTTTCCCGTGTGTTTCTCTGTAGTTGCAGAAGAAATTACTTGGCCCGGGTTTAGATTTTTGCATCCTGCTGTTTGGAGCTGCAGTAGTGCCTCCTTTTTTTTTTTTTTTTTTTTTTTTTTTTTTTTTTTTTTTTTTTTTTTTTTTTTTTTTTTTTTTTTTTTTTTTTTTTTTTTTTTTTTTTTTATGCTGCACTCAGCAGAAGTGCGTAGTGAGACTGTACAACAGCCAGTCAGGCTGTGCTCCTGTCCCTGTGTTTACCAGCTCTACCTTCTCATTTTGTGGGGTACCCAACCCTGTCTGGACGTGGCAGGAATTAGGGGCAGGGTGCTGCTGTGCCAGTGGTGCCACATAGCAGGTGGTCAACTGTGCCTTTCTGATTAGTGCTCATGCGAGGATTGCAGTTATTACAGTAATTCATTTTGGCTAGGGGATTCATTTTGAAAATTTGGATTTTCCACTAAGAAGGGATTATCGTTTCTCTGTGTAGTACGTGTGTTCTATGAAGAAGTGGAGTATGGTATGTATCCTGGCTGCTCTCTCTACTTCTTTTCTGTCTGTCTCTGAAGTGCACGCCCATTTGGACAACACAGGTGCAATGTTGATTTTCATGCTGGAAGTAGATGTGAGAAGCAGCACGCACTTAGCCAACACAACACTCATCCTGTTGATGTAGTCTCAGTCTAGTGTGGGGGAAAAGAGTATCTGTTCTTAGAGAGGAAACGAGGGGTACATTTACTTGTTTATTTCAGGAGGGTGAGTAGGGAGTTAAAACAGAGTGGTTGGTCAGATAGCCAGTGTTTGTGAGCAGCGAGCAGCATGTGAGTCAGGGGTGGATGGCATAGTTTGTCCCTTGTGTGATACAGTCGCTAATGCGTTTCTGACTTAACGTGACCTGAGCTTTGGACTCCTAAACTTTTAGTATCAATCAGCTCTTTCTTGTCAGCTTACTCGTTTGAAATCAGACCAAGCCGGAGCATGAACTGATGCACTCAATGACTTTATCAGTAATTGTCAATATCTAAACGTGACTGTGATTTATTTGAAAGCACGCTGTGTACACTTGCTCAGAACATCCCAAAGAATTGATCCCAAATTCATATGCTCAGTATTTTAAACGCCTTCTAGTAAACAATACGGTACTTATTGTGTTCCAATAAATAAATGGCCAAGACTTGTTACTGAAGTGCATCTTTCAGTGCCTTTGTGTTTTATGTACATGGCGTGAGATCTAGCATTCTTTGCCATTGTGAGATAATCTCTGTGAAGCTTCATGGAGTTTGGCACGTGCTGTGTCCGATGCTAAGTGGCATTCATTCGAGGTAGTGCGAAATCCTTCTCCCTGTCTCCTTTTGAATGGTCTCCTTACAAACGATGCAATAACTTGAATAAATAGCACAAGCAAAATGTACCTGGTTAGCATCTTTTTGAAACGCTGCACTTCCAGTTGCGAGAGTGATGGTGTTGAACAGTTGGTGTTGGGCCAGGAGCTGTTCTAACGAAGAGGTTAGGTTGTTTATTTTTTTAAAGCTGTCGGATCTGTCTTGTGGATGCAGGCATTAAGGTTTCAATTCTGAAAACTGTTTTAAAAAAACTATCCAGCAAAACAACCTCTTCATTCCCCCACCAGGTAACCATGTTGCAAAGTTCAAACAGAAGGATTTTAGTAACCAAAACCGGCCATTATTCTGAAATTTCTTTGTGATGATAGACTTTGCCAGAGAACGTAACTTGTCGTCACAAGCGATTTTTGATCTTTCAGAATGTCTCTGTGGTCCTAAGTCTTTACCTATGTAGCTTCCTACAAACTTAGGAGGGCTGGCTTCAGCATGTGTAGATCACAGCCTTTGTGGGCCTTAGAGACAGGGAGGAGAACTCGAGCCTTACAGAAGTTCTCTGGCTTGCTCTCCCTCCTGTTCTGCAGAAGGAATGCTTGCCAGCCTAAGCTGAAGTTATCCCTTTGTGAATAGTACCCCAGACATTTTCACTGGGTATCTATGCAGACGTGTGGCTTCCACGAGCGGGTCGTACCTGCAGCTGCCACCGCCTTCCAGCATATAGAGCTATGATTCCGTGATTGCACTGGGAGTCACCATCACCTCACATGCTCCCCAACCTCCAGTGGCACCTGTGCTGCCGGGAATGTTGCTGTAGCGTTGGCTGTTTCCCTCAGATGGGCTTGAAGTAGCTGGGGGATGATCCTGCTCATACGGGCTTGTGTGTCTGCCTATTAGCAGGAAAAGGAATTGTGACGCCCCCTTTTCTTCAGGATGTCTGTTGTTTGTTTACGCTCAGCAGCTTTCTCGGTTTTGGCAATAAGGAGATGAGTCAGTTTTGCTTCTGTTTAAGGCTTTTTTTACCCATTTCCCTTGTAACATTTTGTGTGCTGTTGTGATTCTGCAGTGGCTGAGTGGCAAATACTACAGGGTTTTGGTTTAATCCCTAATAAATATATTCCTTTGTTATATAAATGTATTTCTTTGTTATATAAATATATTTCTGTTATATATATATTTAGATATATTGCTGGCCTTAGGTATCATGACCATTAGTTCTAATAAAGTTTAGAATAGACTAGATCTTCTATATTTACGTATTTGTCCTAAAACACAGAAATATTTTGTTTTCTGCTGGTAATTTCAGGAGGGTGGGGGTCATGCAACTCACGAAAAATGAAAGTACAGCCGGTAGCAAACAGCAAGACGGGATGCCACCTACTCCAGCTGATGTTTTCTAGATGAGATTTGAGGCCAGCAAGGTGCTTAGAATTAATTAAGAAGAAATGGCAAGTGTCTTTGATGCAGAGAGCCCAGGGTCATTTTCCTTGCAGTTAATGAATGGTGGCTAGGCAGCTGTATAATGGGCTTGTGAGTCAGTCTCGGACTTTTTTTGATCAGCTATGCCTGGCTAGGGTATCCCATCGTTAACTCTGAGGTACGAGGTGTAGGTTCTTTAGGCTGAGTTCCTTACGAGGTGCTGGGACTGTCCCTTGGCAAGGGGGCGTCCTCATCTCAGATGTTTGTGGAATACGGACCAGCAAGACTGGTCCAAACTACAAGCAAACCAGTCTGCTCTACTGAGAAGCAGACTGCTGGGTGCAAGAGGCTGACTGTGACCCCATGGCCTCCTTTTGCTTTGGCAAGAGGGAGGAGTTAGGTTGAAGCAAGGCAGCAGCTGAGCCTGGAGTGGAATTCACTTGCTGCAGTACCTGTTGCAGCTCCCATTTGTCCTCTTCCTCCGGTGGTAGCAGCAATGGAAAGCACTTCAGGGCTCTCCTTCCCCCAACTTTCCACATTATGATCTAACCCTCCTTTTCCACGAGTTAGAAGCAGCCTAAGCTTGATCCTAGCCCCTCCTCCTTGTGTCCAGAATATTGCCTACAACGCAGATAAACCTTGAGATGGCTTTGGGGGGTTGGGGTGGAGTGATGTGGCAAGCTGTTCCTTTTAGATCCTAAAAAAAAAAACAAACAAACAAACAACCAACCAAAAAACGGGGGGGGGGGGGAAACCCTGATGCTGGTGTTTGAAATATCAAAGCCAGCGATCAGCGCTGTGTTCCCCGGGGGAATCGCTGCGCTCCATTGTATTGCAAAGTTGTCTGAGGACGCAGCAGCGCAGGCAGCGTTCCCTTGCTGCAGAGCAGAAGGTCTGTGGGAGAGAGAGCGTGTGCACAGCAGCCAGAATGCCTATTATTGAGACCCACGCTGAGGTTTCATTTTATGCGTTTAGCAAAACAGGCTCGCTCTTTCACACTTTCCAGATATTTTTATATTTCTCTGCAGATGCTTGTAGAACACCAACGTTTGTTTGGTTTGAAGCCTGAATTGAAATTCCTAGCCAATGTCTGGAGGCAAAAGAAAAAAGGCAAGTATTTCTCTCAGAATTAAAATCCATTTAAATTTGAGAGTTGTTAACCCATGAAACAGTGATGCAATATGGAATGTCTCTTGGACTGAATCACTTGTGTTTAAAATGGAACATGCTCTAAATATAAATGGCTAATTGCTTCAGTGTAGTCAATATGGAATTTAAAGATGACTGACAGAGCGATTTGTCATCCATCTCCATGGCAGGAGTCATCTGGGAAGTCTGTGATGTTCAAGTCATTTGTTTCTATTAGCACCTTTTAGAGTAGTTTGA